TGGTCAGAGAATATATTTTCTAGATCTTAGTCTTTTTAAATTTACTGAGACTTGTTTTGTGGCAAAACAAAAACAAAAAACAAACAAAAAAAACCCCTGCCAGATGAACTAAACAGTGTGCTTAGTGACAAAGTATACAATTTTAATTATGTGAAGAGTAATGTGTTTAATTTAGGGTTATTCATTTCATTATGTGCTAATTGGTGGTTGATGATTAACAACTGTTATTGCATGCTGAAGATGGTTAAAAAGGGGAAAAGTTCTGTTGAGAATATTTGAACTCCAGAGCAAACTCTAGGTGTTTCTGCAAGATAAGACCTAATTTGCTCCCAATGTTTTAAGGATTTTCAAACAGGTTGGTTAAAACTTAAAATGACTATAAAAATAGCAATAAAAAGAAATAAATGGATACACAGTTTCAGATTTTCATATCTTTACAGTTATAATTGATAAACTGATCTTAAAATGTCACAGGTCATAGCTTGTCCACGTGCACATCAGTGGTATGTAGCTTGTACCAAGTGATACTCCCATGTGAGTTCCACAACATGCAAACTGGTCTCCACCCTGCTCAACAAGACCAACCTACTGGTCATGCTCTTGCTTGGCACAGCAATATATCAAACTGCTTTGAAATTTTCTTAATGCTTACTCTCAATTTCTATATACTTATCCTGCTGCAGATAACAAACATTCTTTGGTGAATAAAATTCTCAGAGGAGTGGAGGGGGGACATCAGTAAGAATATTTGAGTTGGTGACAGATAGTTCAGGGCTCAATGGAAAGTCGGTGAAGAAAACAATGAATGTATTTCCTATTTTTGAACTGCTATTTTCCATCAAATTTAAGCATCCTTAATTGTAACATACACCATTATTTTATGCACCACTAAGAAAAAAAAAAAAAACCACTGCCAAATAAACTGACAGATGACTGATTATAAGACACATATTAAGGTTAAAGAAACTATGATATGGGGGAAAAAACAGTGCTCCTTAGAGGCAATAAAATATAAAATTTACAGTTTTTACAGTTTTTACAGTTTCTACAAAGAACATAAAATAAGGATAAATATAAACAGATTATTTAAGAAATTATAATGGATAATATATAAACTGAAGAAACATGCTAATACATGCTAAAAGGATAAAACAACATTAGTTAGGGAAATAAAACATCAGACTCATGCTACTTAAATTTTTGGCATTTTTGAAGACATTCGTCAATGTTTTGGCCACCCAGTTTATAGCTTGCTTTGGAAACCATTCCTTGCTCATTCTCAACCATATGGCTTGCAGTAGTCCTTACTGGTCTAAATGAAACCAGCACAGTCCACAGTGATTAGGGAAGAGGCAAAAACTCAATCAGAAAAGTGAAATGCTAAGAGAGATTCACTTGAGCTTCTGAAAAAGAGAAATTTCCTGTCCTCCAAGGAATGACTAGAAGAGACTGATTTTCTACCACATATGTGATATGGTCCACGGATGCAAGTGCTGGAGGCACAGAAGCCACTTTGCTGCCACAGGGAAGGCCTGCCACTGTTGGGATAAGAGTGTGAAGCCTGAGACAGCAGGGAGTTGATATTTGTTCTGACAACAAATAACTCTGCAGAACATGCCTACCAGGGCCTATGTCTTGTGGCCTCTGTGTTCTCATGACCGAGGTATAATTTTCATATTCCTTGTGGTCACTGTAAGAGCCACTTTTTCCCCAGTACCTGCTCCATAAACAGGTGTCTTCCCCTCCTCACTTTTGCAGCACAGGAAAATAGTTCAGCAAGTAAGTCTTTTTGACCACATATCTAAAGTAACATTCCCTAATCAGTCTAGTCAATAATAAAGGAAATAGTATAATCACCATATGTCTGATTCCTGTGTTTATCTATTAGCTGGTTCCAAATTTAAGAGGAAAATGAAGGATTGTTAATGATTGACTCAAACCCAACAATATTATCCTTATTTTACATATGAGAAAACTGGGCTTGAGAGAAGCTGAGCAATTTACACAAGGTCATCAAAATCTAAAGTATGTTGCAAAACTGGCAGTCAAACTCAGGGACCACTCATTAAGTCTGAAGACTACATTTCTTCCAACGTACTCATGCGCATGTTATTTCTGTTCATTAAAAACAGGCACACTTGGGCCGGCCCGTGGCTCACTCAGTGGAGTGCGGTGCTGATAGCACCAAGGCCCCGGGTTCGGATCCCACATAGGGATGGCCGGTTCGCTCACTGGCTGAGCGTGCTGCTGACAATGCCAAGTCAAGGGTTGAGATCCCCTTACCGGTCATCTTTTTAAAAAAAAAAAAAAAAACAGGCACACTTCACTGACAATCTCTAAGAAGATTCTAAAAAGTGTGTGTCGGGGGTAGAGGGAAGGAAAAGGAAAAAGGACTCACATTTACTGTGTATTTACTATGTTCCAGACACAGTCCTAAGCCATTTACTTACATTACATTCTTTAATCCTCACAACCTGCAGCAAGTTAAGTGAGAACCAGGTATCCAAATCTCACATGCTTTTGATTTACTAAGTTGCTCTTAAAGATCAAACATTAGTCTTCCAATACTATCAGGCTGTTGAGAGTAGTGTGTTTACAAACAGCATCTGTTTATCTGCTTGATTCACATACTTACTGAGTAGTTCTTTTCTATGGCACAGAACACAACGTCCACACATATTAGCACCCCAGTCCGGCCTACACCAGCACTGCAGTGAACAACCATGGGGCCTGTGACGTGGCTCTTCCTCACATAACGAACGTATTTTATGAAATAATCTGCTGACGCAGGAGTGCCATGGTCTGGCCACTTGGTGAACTGCAAGTGTTTTACACAGTGACTAGTTCCCGTCTGTCAGAGACAGAAAGAGATTGGACAATTTCTTATATTAGAGATCTCATTTCAATTTCTAATGTGCTAATAATAATAATAATAATAACAACAACAACAACAACAAGAACAATAATAATAATGGCAATATGGTACTATATTGGTATCATATAGAGCTTTAAAAGAGTACTCAAACCTCACTTTGACTTTGACAAGAATTCCGAAAGATGCAGGAATAGAGGTTTTCTGCATTTTACAAAGGAGAACAGAATAACAATAATAAAAATGAGCATACTAACAGGTAACACAAATTGAGCATTTACTGTGTGCCAGGAACTGTGCCGTTTAATCCTCACATCAACCCTATGAGGTAGGCACTATTTTACCCTCCTTTTACAGATGAAAAAGTAAGGAGGAGGGGGGTTGAGAGACGTATGCTAGGTCAGAAGGCTCACATGCTTAGAGCTGGGACTGTAATGCAGGCCTCCTGAATCCTATTCTACCATCTTTCTTCTGCACCATGAGGCTACAGAAAACCCAAGATTTCAAAATACTTAGAGCAAAAGATGGGCTGACATGGAGTAAGACCAAATGGCAACTATCTTAGCTTAAATATTATATGCTAAGTTTAACTGAACCAGGGAGGCACAACCTCCTCGTGTCCAGCAATGAGGACAGGGCAGATAATGCCCATGAGAGTAGATTGTGACCCTACTGAGCTGGGCCCCCTTAGAGTGAAGCCATGAAACTTACCTCGGGGTTGACAGATAAAGCACTTGGAGTTTACCCAGAGCCCATCCAAGGGGATCATTGCCCTTTCTCCAAGGTGGGTCCTCATCTTTCCCAGCTTAGACTGAGCTTCTCACTCTTCCCCTGCCTCTCCCTAAGGCACCTGCTTTTCCTAAGTTCCCTTAATAAAGATGCTAGGGTTTAGGGCCCTATTCTAATTCAAAATATCTATTGAAATTTGTGATGGTTAATTTTGTGTATCAACTTGGTTGGGTCACAGCACCCAGATATTTGGTCAAACATTATTCGATATGTATCTGTGAAGATATTTTTTAGATGAGATTAACATTTAAGTCTGTGGGCTTTGAGTAAAGCAGATCACTATCCATACTGTGGGTGGACCTCATCTAATTAGCTGAAGGCCTTAACAGAACAAAGACTGACCTCCCTGAGCAGAAGGAAATCTGCCAGTGCATTGCTTTTGGACTCCCTGAGTCTCCAGCCTACTGCCCCACCCTGCAGATCTGCCAACCCTCCACAATCATGTGGGTCAATTCCTTAAACTTCTCTCTCTCTCCTCCTCCTCCTCCTCCTCTTCCTCCTTCTCTCTCTCTCTCTCCATAAATATATATTGGCTGTGTTTCTCTGTAGAATCTAACTAATTCAGAATCCTCCACTGATCGATGTAATACAATTTTCTACCTGGAATCATAAATCTAGAAAACCTCCAACTCACTTTGGTTATTGATGATTTCTATACTACATAGTTCTTGGCAATGGCAGAAATGACCTCAGATCAGTAAACGGTAGTGGGAAGGAGGAGTTATATTTAAAACCTCTTTCACCTTAATAATAAATAGAAAATTCAAGCTTGAATCACTGATACATGAAACTGAATAAGGAACACAATACTGAAAATCTTGTGAAGGTACTAAGTTGAGGACTGCTTTTACCATATCGCATGTTTCAGGGTTAAATCTCTCCCGCCACCACCGACCACTAAGAATCCGCCCAAAGATGGACCTCACCCCTGATGCAGATTCTCCAAACATGAACCCCACGGTTCTGAGGCTTGTGGGCTCTAGCCCAAAGGCCACGACACTAGGCCCCAGCCCCTTGCCAAGCTCCACGGGTTGACCTCAGCATTTGAATCCTTGCAGACAGATCACTGCTCTGTGCCTCACTCCTGGCCTATATTCTGCAATCACACACATCATTCAGAACTGACTTGTTTAGTGTCTTCCTTCCCCTCTAGACTGTAAGTACTCTAAGAGTTAAGACTGTGTCTGTCGTCTATCCTAGGAAAATGGAAAAATCATCCAGGACACTCTTTGCTGCTCACTTCTTTTCCCAATTTATTATTCCTTCTCCTGGTATAAAAAAAATCCTTCTTCCTTTTGAGTTTCATACCTCTTACCTTCATCTTCTCATTGCTATCACCCAGTGGCTAAACCTCCTGGTCAGTTCTACTGAAATCCTAGCACTTCTCCCTACCAGAGATTCTGACATCACCCAAGCCAAATTCAGTGTCTCAACAGCCCAACAGATACTCTAACATCACAACATTTTTATTTCTCTCTTGCAGGGGAGACCACTTCCTCTCTTCTAGTTCCCACAACCATGATTCACTCCTTGGACTTACCATAATCTATAATGTCTAGTATCAAACATTTTCCAGTTCTACAACTTCAACTTCGGACCAGACGCTCTTTCAACAACAACATGACCAAATGAAGCTCCACAGTCAATTTGCATCCTCATTGACTGCTCCCCGGATCCCATTCATATCCTTAAGCAATTGACACACCATGGCTAATCATCTCTTAAACTGTCAACGTCTTTGATCCTCTGAATCTCACATGAACTAGACCACATCCCACCCTTGGTCAGTTCTATATATCCTGTGTTCAGGGATCCCATAGTTATACTGCTGGAAAAAATCCAATCACATAGTTGCATATTTTGTTCCTACTGCAAATGTACGGGTCTAACCTCAGCATCACTCAGCAACCCTTTTCCTGGTCACTGTCTGTGCTCCATTTAACTTCTTTGGTGATGATTCCAAACCTCACAACTCTCTTCAAGCTTCCTGTTCAACTCCTAGCCCCTTCACTCCTATTGAACACATGTATCACCTCCCTGCTATTCCAATCTAGTGGAGCAATGTAACTCATCACTTTTCTATTTTCCAAATCTATTACAGCAAGACACCCATGAATTACAATGTTTTCCAACAGAACCTTCTACAATGATGCAAATGTTCTATATCTGTGCTGTCCAGCATGGTGGCCACTAGTAACATGTGACTAATAAGCACTAGAAATGTGGCTACTGCAGATGAAGAACTGAATTTTTTATTTTCACTAAATAGCCACATGTGGCTACTGTATTAAATACTATAATTTTCAACCCCTCCTTCTGCCACTTCTAAGTCACAAGTCATAAGTCCCTTTTATGTCTGACGATTTTATCTGTAAAACACCTGTGTCTGTGCTTTCCATTCCAATGCCAACTGCCCTAGTTGATCATGCCATTATTTTACTAAAATTCTTCAATATCTCCCAATTATCTTCATAATAAAGTTTGTGCTCCTTATCTGAAATCTAAGACATTTCAGGTTCTAGCTAGTCTCTGCTTACTTTCTGTAGCCTCATCTCATCTCTCATTACTCTCTGGCATTGAACTTTTATATTCCAGAAACATTTAACTACTTACATTTCTCTATACATACCCCCATGCTACTTTATATTTTGATCATCTACTTCCTACTTCCATCTTTCCAATACGGACAATTCTCAATTCAGATGTCACCTCCTCCAGTAAACCTTCCCCACAACCCAAATTAAAACTAAGTACTTTCCTTATCAGCCCCCCAAGGACCCTGTACAGATCTCAAATATTACCACTGAACACAGTAAATATCTGTGAGTGTACCAGTCTTTCCACTACTCAATAAGTAGCAAGAGTGTCTGGCACGCTGGTTAGCATAACTTAAGGACTCAATACATGTCTGCCACACTGGCAGAAGGAGCCAAAATACATCCCAGGATCACAAAATTCTAACACTTACTCTCCCCACACCACCTGTCCTTTTTATTTTTTTCTTCTCTCCAGTCAGATTTTGGTTAAACAGAAGTAGAAATAGTGGCAGCTTAGTTTCTAGTACCGGAGAGAAGTTAGAAGTTACTTTTAAAGGTATCCTCAGTCTACATGCCATCCTACTCCTAACTTCTAGCTAGTCCTAATGCATCTCCTTATGTACTGAAACATATATCTAATACTGATGGTTTAAAACTTACGGACTTCTTCACAACCTGTAACACTCGAATGATGAAATATTTAAGTATCTGGTAGTTCTCCAGGAAGATACGGAAGTGTTTCAATTCCAAAGGCTTCTTCAGAGAAATGGGCCAGTAATGGTGGCATTTGATAGTTCCACTTTCTATCTCTCTGGTTATCATGGCAATAACATTAGAATTATTTTCCAAAACCATTTGCCAAAAGTCATCTGTGGTGCCTGGCAGTGGTCCTTGGGTAGCAATATAAAAATATTCTTCTCCATAATTGACTATTCTAATGTAACTAGCATTGATGTAGTCCTTGCTTTCTCCAAGAGGAACACGTGTTGAATCATCTATTACAGAAACAGAAACATTTGGTAGGTAAAAGAAAAGTGGGAGATACAATAGAGCTAGGCTTCATGAAAGCATTTCACAGGTAAATCCATATATCTCTTTGACCAATAAAGAAAATGGCATAGGAGTTTCTCTTCAAAAGGCTCATTTGAGTCTATGTGTTTAACTTCTTCCCTCCCCAAGACCTACTGGCATGACCTAAGAAATATACAATTAGGGGAGGGTTTTTTTTTTTTTATCAGTTTTTAATAAACAGAGAAGGATGCCATCAGCATCCAGGCACTTTGAGAAATTTCTGTTAGATATGGTGTAGATAGCATTAGGCCAAAGGAGACTTCTACTAGTTTACAACTGAACACAGCAAAAGAGGGCCCTTCTGCAGAAGAAAATGAATGGCATTCTCCCACAAACCTGGGAAACCTGCAAGCCCAGAGCAGCAGGGACCAGGGTGAAAAATAAAATTGAACTGTGATAGTTTACTGGAGACAATTCTTAGATTAATGGAATTCCAGTGCACCCTACACAAGACAGCCATCCTCTGCCTTCAGCTGGTAAAGTGGCATGCTAATCAAAGCAGATGTATTGTAGCAAAACTAAGGGGATGTGCTCCAAGTAAAATGGGACTCATTTAACATGGACTGTCATAACAAATATGAGAGGGAAAACCTAGCTACTTGGCCCACTAATAAACTTCACCACCCCAGGAGCACTTTCTTCACTGGACATAGACATCCGGAGCTCTAGTTCCACCACTGCTCCCATGCTGAGAGCAGAAACACACACAGCAAAGGAGGCCCTTCCTTGCCATGCAGCTCTCATCAATAACCTCTCCTTACTACGCAGAACCACATGGACCACTTAGCTAGCAAATATGCTACAGCAACAATACTGAACAGGGACTTGGACACGCTTTCTGACAGAACCCTTCTCAAATTCCAACACAGCACACAGAAATCTTTCCTTGTAAATATGAATGAATAGGAAAAATAATCACTAAGTATATAAGGATACCCAGTATTTCAAAATGGGAGACCATTCTGAGAAATTACAGCAAGTGTTTTCCTTGTATAAAAGAGGAAAATACCTTAAAAACTCCTATCTGTATTTAAAATGAAATTCAAGAGAACATGATTTTACTACTTAAAAGGATAATATATATGTTTATTGACAAGTATGTTACATTATTAAATTATAAAGACGACGACAATAGCTTCATATTGAGATCTTTCATCATATATATATATGAGATATATTTCATATAATAATAATAAACCTGGCAAGTATTCATCAAAGTGTTAGCAGCAGTTATTTTATAAATAGTAAGTATATGTTACTTTATAGTAGAAAAGCATTTTTTAATTTTGAAAAGGGAGATTAAAGGCGTGAAAATTAAATAATCTAAAATAATAAAAGTTTGCTTTCAGTTAAAATCAACAATTATTCAATTCAAATCTTCCTAATGTAGGAAGGGAACAGAAAGACAAATTAGTGATTTAGAAAACTGGCTTAAGGAATTTTCTCAGAACTCAGAAAAAAAAAATGATGAAAAAAGACAATAATGATTAAAATGCTAAAGTACATAGAGTATATAGTGAGAATATGTAAAAGGAATTTCAGAAGAAAACTACAGAACACACAGCAGGAAATAACCCAAATGATCATACGAAAGCCCCGACACAGAAAAGATGGCAACAGAATGCAGGGTAAATGCATGTGCACACCAGGTCTGAGCAGCATGGTACTCTGTATGCATCGCCTCGTCAACTTCCAAACAATTCTTTGAGGAAGGTGCTTTCAGATTCATATTCATATTTTCATATTCATGCTTTTCAGATAAGGAAACTGTACTAAGTAATTTGTTTCATATTATGAAGTAATTTTTCTAGGCCTCAAAGCCCAAAGAAATCTAAACTCCACAATCCAAAAATAATTCCTGCTGCCTCTCAAGGAAGACTCAAGTTTGCAGATAGAGAGGCCTCACTAAGTGTCAGGAAACATTAATGAAGAGAGCCACTAAGACTTCTAGACTGGCAAAGCGTAAGGTCATAGGGACAGGAAGCAAATACTGTGCCAGTGGATCACAAGGGGTAATGGTGAGTGGTGCCATTCACGTTTCCATGCCTTGATTCCTGAATCCTGGCTACAGCTGAAACAGCGTCATATATTGGATGCCCCATTCCTACAAGGTGCCGCCACCTACCTGGCACTGCAGTTGAGTCTTCAAAAGGCCATTCAACCACTCCATCAAGTCAGCTGCTTCAGGATAATGGGGAATATGATAAGACCAGTTAATTTCATGAGCGTGAGCCCACTGTCACAAACTATTTGCCACAAGGTGAGTTCCTTGATCAGAAGCAATGTTACATGGAATACCATAATGATGGATAAGGCATTCTGCAGGTCCATGGATGGTAAATTTGGCAGGAGCATTGCATGCAGGGAAAGCAAATCCATATCCAGAGTACAGGCAGAACACAGAGATATTGTGGTTTCGGTTCCAGACTATTGCAATAAAGCAAATATTGCAATAAAGCAAGTTACACAATTTTTTTGGTTTCCCAGTGCATATAAAAGTTATGTTTATACTGTACTGTAGTCTACAAAGTGTGCAATAGCACTATGTCCAAAAAATATATATACATACTTAAACATATGTACATAGTTAAAAAACACTTTATTGCCCCAAAATGCTAATGATCACCTAAGCCTTCAATGAGTCCTGGTAGAGTCTTGCCTCAATGTTTTTGGCTGCTGACTGCTCAGGGGGTGGTTGCTGAAGGCTGGGGTGGCTGGGGCAGATTCTCAAAAGAAGACAACAGCAAAGTTTGCCGCATCAGTTGACTCTTCCTTTCACGAAAGCTTTCTCTGTGGCATTTCATGATGTCTGACAGCGTTTCAAAATTGGAGTCACTCCTCTCAAACCCTGCTGCTGCTTTATTGACTAAGTTTATGTAATATTCTAAATCCTTTGTTGTCATTTTGACAATGTTCACAGTGTCTTCACCAGAAATAGATTTTGTCTCGAGACCACTTTCTTTGCTCATTCATAAAAAGCAACTCTTCATCCATTAAAGTTTTATCCTGAGATTGCAGCAAGGCAGTTACATCTTCAGGCTCCACTTCCAATTTAGTTCTCTTGCTATTTCCATCACATCTGCAGTTACTTCCTCCACTGAAGTCTTGAACCCTCCAAAGTCACCTATGAGGGCTGGAATCAACTTCTTCCAACCTCCTGTTAATGTTGATATTTTGACCTCCTCCCATGAATCACGAATGTTCTTAATGGCATCTAGAATGGTGAATCCTTTCCAGAAGGTTTTCAATTTACTTTGCCCAGGGCCATCAGAGGAATCACTATCTATGGCACTATAGCCTTATGTAGTATATTTCTTAAATAATAAGACTTGAAAGTCAAAATGACTCCTTGATCCATGGGCTACAGAACAGAGGTTTTGTCGACAGGCATGAAAACATTAATCTCCTTGTACATTTCCATCAGAGCTCTTGGGTGACTAGGTGCACTGTCAATGAGCAGTAATATTTTGACAGGAATCTTTTTTTTTCTGAGCAATGTCTAAATATCAGCCTAAAAATATTCAGTAAACTATACTATAAACAGATGTGCTGTCATCCAGGCTTTGTTGTTCCATTTAAAGAGCACAGGCAGAGAAGACTTAGAACAATTTTAAAACTGAGCAATGTCTAAATATCAGCCTAAAAATATTCAGTAAACTATGCTATAAACAGATGTGCTGTTATCCAGGCTTTGTTGTTCCATTTAAAGAGCACAGGCAGAGAAGACTTAGAACAATTTTAAAAGACCCTAGGATTTTTGAATTGGTAAATAAGAACTGGTTTCAATTTCAAGTCACCAGCTGCATTAGCCCCTAACAAGAAAATCAGCCTGTCCTGTGAAGCTTTGAAGCCAGGCATTGACTTCTCTCTAGCTATGCAAACCCTAGATGGCATCTTCTTCCAATAGAAGGCTGTTTTGTCTACACTGAAAGTCTGTTGCTTAGTGTAGCACCTTCATCCTCAGCTGGACTCAACTGGATTTTCTGGATGACTCACTGCAGCTTCTCCATCAGCACTTGCTGCGTCACCTGCACTTTTATGTTACGTTTTGAAGACGGCTTCTTCCTTAAACCTCAAGAACCAACCTCTGCTGGCTTGCAACTTTTCTTTGCAGCTTTCTCACTTCTCAGCCTTCACAGAACTGAAGAAAGCAATGGTCTTGCTATGGATTAGGCTTTGGCTTAAGGGAATGTTGTGGCTGGTTTGATCTCTCCAAACCACTGGAACTTTCTCCATATCAGCAATAAGTGTGAAACTTCCTCATCATCTGTGTGTTCAGTGGAGTAGCACTTTTAATTTCCTTCAAGAACTTTTCCTTTGTGTTCACAACTTGGCTAACTGGAGCAAGAAGCTTTTCTTTCAGCCTATCTCAGCTTTCAGCATGCCTTCCTCACTAAGTTCAATCACTTCTAGTTTATGATTTAAAATGAGAGACGTGAGACTCTTCCTTTCACTTGAACACTTAGAGGCTATTGTAGGGTTCTTAATTGGCCTTATTTCAATATTGTTGTGTCTGAGGGAATAGGGAGGCTCAAGGTGAGAGAGAGGGAGAGATGGGGGAACTGCCAGTCCGTTGGTCTACATACAACATTGATTGATTAAGATCGATTAAGTTTGCCATTTTATATGGATGCGGTTTATGGTGCCCCAAAATAATCACAATAGTATCATCNCAGGCATGAAAACATTAATCTCCTTGTACATTTCCATCAGAGCTCTTGGGTGACTAGGTGCATTGTCAATGAGCAGTAATATTTTGACAGGAATCTTTTTTTTTTCTGAGCAATGTCTAAATATCAGCCTAAAAATATTCAGTAAACTATACTATAAACAGATGTGCTGTCATCCAGGCTTTGTTGTTCCATTTAAAGAGCACAGGCAGAGAAGACTTAGAACAATTTTAAAAGACCCTAGGATTTTTGAA